CACACACACACACACACACACACACACACACACAGTGGAGCCCAGGTTGTCTGTAGATATGTTTAACATCTCCACTAATTACTTTACAGGATGTTTGGGTGGGCATGGTTGAAGTTCTTTCCACTGAGAAGTACTGTATGGCTGTCAAGTGTGCTTCTCCTTTTGACTCGGTAACAGCGAATGCCATCATGTGATTGGAGTGCATAGTCCAAAGCCTTGTGTTATGAACGGTAGTTACATATCGGTGTGTCACACCGTGTCTGAATATCTAATCTGAATAGTGTAGTCTGAGTATCTCATGGAGTATCTTATGTACATGCAGACAAGTATATTGCTGTGTACCCTCCTGTGCAGCCATACACAAGTACTACTAATCATGTGACTAGTGTTAGGTGAGTTTATGGAGACATTATTCTTTCAGAGAAAGTGGAAATGAGTTTGAATGCTTTTGTAAATGTGCAACTTAGGATATATTTTCTAGCTCTGTATCTTAACCTCTTAGAGCTGCATTCAGATTTTTTTATATGTCATACACACACGAGTCACACTTAGGAATTTTTTCAAATCAAAGAAGAAAAAAAGAAACAAAAAACAATGATTGACCAGGCTGGATTTCTCCACAAGTAGAGAAATGTAATGGACTTGGTTGCTTAACACTAAAATTGTCACTTTTGATGATGTTTTTGTTTTTTTACAGTATGTTTTTTTTTTCTTTTGAATTTGATATAATCCCTTTCAGCATTGGCTTGTGACTGCAGACTCCCATCTGGGTGAAATACAAACTATCAATCAGCCACAGCAACAGCTGCATCTGACAAGTCGCTGTCCGACACACTAATGCCTTCCAACTGTCTGAAGACCCCTCCCCGTCTGCTGTTTATCACGTACCTCTGCCCCACTTCATCCAAACCAACACTACCCCTCCACTCCTGCTCCGCTCCCTGTCTCCATTACTGCTCGATGGGGCTTCTTTGGCCTAGATGAGCCAGTTCAGTGCGGCTGCCCTCAGGTGGACTCCACACCTCTTAAAATGAGTCATGTTCATTGTGCCACAGGTGTGTGGTTGTCCCGAAGATGTGCTTATGAATAATGTTCACACCTCCTCCTTCCTGCGTACTCTGTATTGTTTGTTGTTATTTTGATTAGTATTTTTGTCAGGTTTGTAGAGATTTAACCACTTTTTGTACCTGATGTGAGAATGATACATTTGTTCGCTTGAAAGCAAAATAAATCTGTTGACTAGGGATCTGTTGGCCTTTTCATGTCATTTCATTACCCAAACCTTTAAAAATGCAGTATTTACATTGTTGTTGTTGTTATTATCTCATCTTGCATTTGTCTCAAAAAAGGCAATTTACGTTTTAAAAGGAAAATTACCGTCACAGTTCTTGTTGGCATTTTGATCACTTTTGCTTCTTAAACTGTGGAAGTAAAATATCTGATACATTTGTCCTCTTACTTCCTCTGAATGCTATCGAGGGGCGTAATGCAGTTATTCGCAGAATAATTGCAGAGCTGTGGAGCTAAAGGGTTTTTGTGCATAAATTTGGTCAAAATGGGTATGAATGGGAAAATATTTGAATAATGGATTATTTGCATTTCATGTTTTAGCACAAAATATTTAAAGAATTGAAAGTTTGCATGTTTTCTTCACAGTACCTCTGGTTTGTGATTTAGCGTGACCCGTGGAAACCTGAGCTGCTGGAAGATAATCAGGAAAATGCAGATGACACAGAGGAGTTTGAGCCAGAGGTTTAAAAAAGAGAGAGAGAGAGTAAGAGGGAATCAAAGTGGAGCAGCTGAAGAAAGTTGTGAGTGGAAAGTTAACAGAGTGAGACAGGAGTGCCTGATAAATATACTCTACTCTGTGCTACCTCTGCCTCCCCCTTTCTTCTCCTTTTGCCCTTCTTCCCTCTCTTTCAAATTAACCGTGTGGCTTTAATACAATGTGTGTCATGCAGGTTGCCCTGGCGACTCTTTGATCCTGTTTTCCAGTCTCTGCCTCTGGGGCAGACGTGCTTCTCTTCAGTCTGCTGCACACCAGCTCTGGAAGCTCCTGCAGCCCTGAGACAAACCATGGGCTGCTGCGCTCGTCTCGCTCCCCCTTTTTTCTTCCTGTCGCTCTCACTTTCTATTTTAAGTCCTTTTTTTCTCCCTCTTCTTATCTTTTTTCTTTCTTTTTTTTTTCTTTTCTTTGCTCAGATTTTTTCCATCTCTCTGTCTCACTCTTGATCGCTCTGCTTCCCTTTGGTCACACCAAAGTAGCCCTCCCTCAGCGTGGGCATGCCGAGTGCCCAGGGGAAGGGAAGAGGCCAGGACCTCAGAGGAGCAGCCCTCCCGGGAGAAAGAAGAGAGGCGAGGGACCTCTCACGCTTCCACTTCTCCCCACTCTGTCTCCATGTCTGTAAAGGTGATTTAATTCCCCTGAAGAAGACGCAGACGGTCTTCTCCTCGCTAAACCTTCACCTGCTCTGCTCATTTAATGCCTGGTGTCTGGCTCGGGGAGTGTCTCGTCCTTGTTGGCAGCAGACCCTCAGTACGAAGCTTCAAAGTTAAACTATCGTCGTCTGTCAAGACTTTTCTAGTCGGTTTTCGTTCACAGTACATTACCTAGCAACAATAACCGAAACTGGATGTTTACTGTGATGGAGACAGTACATTCAAGTCTCTGCAGGCATAATTTATAATTTACTAAAATGAATCTTGATTAATGGTAGACAGGAAGGGAGGAAGATGCAAAGAGATCTACAAATCTATGGCAAGCCTAATTGTTGGCAGCAATATAAAGTGAAGGTGTGATTTGTAACAAAAGGATAAAACAAGGAAAATTGCCCTCTAGAGAACGACTGCGGCTGACGCTGCACAGAAGCACGCTGAACTTACGCAACACAGTTCAAAGCTGCCAACCACGAGCAATTATCCGCCATGCGAGGCTGCAGCCTTCATGATAGTTTATCATTTGTCTTTTTGGTTTTGATTTTCTGACATCAAGAGTGCTGCATTCACGTCATTATCTGGGCTTTTTTTTTCTTCTCACATTTACAACTTAGTTACAGTTTGTTGTGTGTACACACACACACACACACACACACACACACACACACACACACACACACACTCTTCAGTTAACAGGAAATCTTCCATCAGGTGCTGTTCAAACACGGCCGGTGTTCATTTGAACATTTAAGGTGCTCCAGGATATTTCATATTGTTGGAAGCAGAAGCTATGTGGGTTTATAAAACAATGTCATGTTTGCAGCATTTCATCTTTTTTAGCAAAACTGTGATGTGAAGTGACGACAAAGCTGCCTGGGTGTGTTTTCTCTCCCACTTTAATTAAAAACAGGTCAAAGAGCTTGTTTGAAAAAACAAAAACATTATGGAATATATGCTGTTTGTATTTCATGTTACTTCTGTTGCATAAAAGCAAAGAGTAGAATAAGCACACTGTGCTCAGAAGTCCTGAAATGGGTGTCAGAAACAATAGATATCAACAAAAGTACACGTGCAGTTGACTCGCATGTTAAATGACAGCATTCATTTAACATGTCAGCATTCAGCAGCTGCAGCATTTTTGCCAACTGGTTAAATTGGTTATAATTTAAGCACTTTAGGTACTGAATATTCTTACAAAATATAATTTTATAAGAATATTAACTGGATTATGTTCATATTTTGGCAACTACTACTTAATGTATAAAGATAGAAATTCATGTCATACAGCACAAGTATAAACAAATGCTATCACACACCACAAAATGAACCCTGTGAGCTTTGTGAAATGCAAATGTGTGACCCGACCGGGAACCTAACTTTCGTTTACAGGACAAACAAAAGCTGGCATGTTTTTTTAAACTCTGAAAAGAATGCCTCTTTCTCTCCGGCTTCTCCCGTCCAGCGTGTGTGGCAGCGTTTCTCCTGATAAGATCCAGCCAGGAGGTGGAACAGATGTTGCCCTGACATCCATCTGGGCCCTGTACCCCGACTCTGCCTCCCACAGCCGATGCTCTGTGCGGGCCGCTTACCATTCTCGGCCCCTCGTAGTGAGGGGGAAAGAAAAAAGCTCTCCGCTGAGCGTAGAAATCGCTTTCGCTCACGTTTAATCTGAGAAAGATACCAGTCTGTAATCAAGCGGGACCTTTGGGTCTGTTCGGGGTGTTCCCTCTTTGTTTCAGCACTCTCTTGCCTTCAACACTCTCACACCCCTTTGAACAACAAACACAAATGACGGAAACGCATCGAAATGATGTAAGCTGGTGACGAAATGTACCCGGGACTAAATAATGGTTTCCAGATCTGTGATATGATTGAGGCGAGTCCAGAAATTTGCAGCACCGTGACATTTCCACTGGTGTCACGGCACCAAAAGCGATAGATTTGTTTACCCTGAAGGTGTCAATCTCATATGTTTAAACTTAACCTGATGATTAATGGAAAAGCGGTTGCAGATGAACCACAGTTATGGTGCAAATTTCAAAATCATGTTGTTTAGAGTTTCCACATACGTCAAAATAGGTGGCTCATTTGATGAATAATACATATTAATTAAGCCTTTCTCTTTGAAATTGCTTTTAGGTTAAAAGACAATACCAAAAAAAAAAAATAGTCTCTTGTTAGAGAATATGGGAGTCTTAACCAGAATTGCTTTTAATGAAAAATTCAGCAGTTTCTTAGTAATT